AGTGTGTAAGTGAGTGAGTCTGTGAGTGTGTAAGTGAGTGTGTAAGTAAGTGAGTGTGTAGGTGAGTCTGTGAGTGTGTAAGTGAGTGTGTGTGTAAGTGAGTGTGTAAGTGAGTGAGTGTGTAAGTGAGTCTGTGAGTGTTTAAGTGAGTGAGTGTGTAAGTGAGTGTGTAAGTGAGTGAGTGTGTAAGTGAGTGTGTGAGTGAGTGTCTAAGTGAGCGAGCTACCTGGGTGACCTCTGCCCCTTCACCTTTGCCCCCTCCCCACCCCACAGTCGACCTGCCGCCCCCACCCCCGCCCGAGGACCTGACCCTTGGCCCCTGCGAGGCTCCGCCCCTGCCTCCGCCCCCCGGCTGCCCATTGGACGATCACGACCTGCCCCCGCCCCCTCCACCTCCACCCCCCATGCCGGAGACTTCGCCGCCCCCCCCAGCCCCTCCCCCCATCCTTGTGACGTCACCGCCTCCCCCAGCCCCTCCCCCCCCACCGCCCCCACCACCCCCACCTCCTCCCCCCCCACCCGGCGTTGGCTGGTCCGGCCAATCAGAGGGCTCGCCTCGGCAGCCAATGGGAAAGGCACAACTGCAGGTGAGTGTTGTAGTGTTGTGGTTGTTGTGGTGTTGTTGTTGTGTTGTTGTGGTGTTGTTGTGGTGTTGTTGTTGATGTGGTGTTTGTGGTGTTGTTGTTGTGGTGGTGTTGTTGTTTGTGGTGGTGTTGTTGTTTGTGGTGTTGTTGTGGTGTTGTGGTGTTGTTGTGGTGTTGTGGTGTTGTGGTGTTGGTGTGTTGTTGTGGTGTTGTGGTGTTGTGTTGTTGTGGTGTTGTTGTGGTGTTGTGTTGTTGTGGTGTTGTGTTGTGGTGTTGTGTTGTTGTGGTGGTGTTGTGTTGTTGTGGTGTTGTGGTGTTGTGTTGTTGTGGTGGTGTTGTGTTGTTGTGGTGTGGTGGTGTTGTGTTGTTGTGGTGTTGTTGTGGTGTTGTGTTGTTGTGTTGTTGTGGTGTTGTTGTGTTGTTGTGTTGTTGTGGTGTTGTTGTGGTGTTGTGTTGTTTGTGTTGTTGTTGTGGTGTTGTGTTGTTGTGGTGTTGTTGTGTTGTTGTGGTGTTGTTGTTGTGTTGTTGTTGATGTGGTGTTGTTGTGGTGTTTGTGGTGTTGTGTTGTTGTTGTGTTGTTGTGGTGTTGTTGTGGTGTTGTGGTGTTGTTGTTGTGTTGTTGTGGTGGTGTGGTGTTGTTGTTGTGGTGTTGTTGTGTTGTTGTGGTGGTGGTGTTGTGTTGTGTTGTTGTGTTGATGTGGTGTTGTGTTGTTGGTGTTGTTGTGGTGTTGTTGTGGTGTTGTTGTTGTGGTGTTGTGTTGTTGTGGTGTTGTTGTGGTGTTGTGTTGTTGTTGTGTTGTTGTTGTGTTGGTGTTGTGGTGTTGTGTTGTTGTGTTGTGTTGTTGTGTTGTGGTGTGGTGTTGTTGTGTTGTGTTGTTGTGTTGTGGTGTGGTGTTGTTGTGGTGTTGTTGTGGTGTTGTTGTGGTGTTGTGGTGTTGTTGTGTTGGTGGTGTTGTTGTTGTGTTGTTGTGGTGGTGTTGTTGTGTTGTTGTTGTGGTGTTGTGTTGTTGTGTTGTTGTTGTGTTGTTGTTGTGTTGTTGTGGTGTTGTGTTGTTGTGGTGTTGTTGTTGTGGTGTTGTTGTGGTGGTGTTGTGTTGTTGTTGTTGCGGTGTTGTGTTGTTGTGGTGTTGTTGTGGTGTTGTGTTGTTGTTGTGGTGTTGTTGTGGTGTTGTTGTGGTGTTGTTGTGGTGTTGTGTTGTTGTGGTGTTGTGGTGTTGTTGTGGTGTTGTGGTGTTGTTGTGGTGTTGTGTTGGTGTTGTTGTGTTGTTGTTGTGTTGTTGTTGTTGTGTTGTTGTGGTGTGTTGTTGTTGTGTTGTTGTTGTGTGTTGTTGTGTTGTTGTTGTGTTGTTGTTGATGTTGTTGTGTTGTTGTGTTGTGTTGTTGTGTTGTGGTGTTGTGTTGTTGTGTTGTTGTTGTGGTGTTGTTGTTGTGTTGTTGTGGTGTTGTTGTGGTGTTATTGTTGTGTTGTGGTGTTGTTGTTGTTGTGGTGTTGTTGTTGTTGTGTTGTTGTGGTGTTGTAGTGTGGTGGTGTTGCTGTGTTGTTGTGGTGTTGTTGTGGTGTTGCTGTGTTGTTGTGGTGTTGTTGTGTTGTTGTGGTGTTGTTGTTGTGGTGTTGTTGTGGTGTTGTGTTGTTGTGTTGTGGTGTTGTTGTTGTGGTGTTGTGTTGTGTTCTTGTGTTGCTGTGGTGTTGTTGTGTTGTTGTTGTGTTGTTGTTTGTGGTGTTGTGTTGCTGTGGTGTTGTTGTTGTGTTGTTGTTGTGTTGTTGTTGTGTTGCTGTGGTGTTGTTGTGGTGTTGCTGTTGTTGTGGTGTTGTGGTGTTGTTGTGGTGTTGTGTTGTTGTTGTTGGCGTTGTTGGTGTTGTGTTGTTGTATTGTGAGTGAGTGAGTGGGTGAGTGAGTGGGGGTGTGTGGACTACCTGGGGGAGCTGTACCTGTGTCCGACGTTTCGGGCCCCCAGCCCACCAGCAGGAGGCCCGAGAGACCCAAGATGGCCGAGATGGACCCCCTGAGCTGCATGCTGGCGGAGATGAAGAGCAGCTCACCGTTCCTGCTACGCAGGATGAGGGTGAGTGGTGGTGGTGAGGAGTGGTGAGTGGTGAGTGGTGGTGAGTGGTGGTGAGTGGTGGGTGGTGAGTGGTGGGTGGTGAGGAGTGGTGAGTGGTGAGGAGTGGTGAGTGGTGAGTGGTGGGTGAGGAGTGGTGAGGAGTGGTGAGTGGGTGTGGTGAGTGGTGAGGAGTGGTGAGGAGTGGTGAGGGGTGGTGAGTGGTGAGTGGTGAGGAGTGGTGAGTGGTGGGTGAGGAGTGGTGAGGAGTGGTGAGTGGGTGTGGTGAGGAGTGGTGAGTGGTGGTGAGGAGTGGGTGAGGAGTGGTGAGGAGTGGTGAGGAGTGGTGAGTGGTGGTGAGGAGTGGTGAGTGAGGGTGGTGAGTGGTGGGTGGTGAGGAGTGGTGAGGAGTGGTGAGTGGTGAGTGGGGATGGTGAGGAGTGGTGAGGAGTGGTGAGTGGTGGGTGAGGAGTGGTGAGTGAGGAGTGGTGAGGAGTGGTGAGTGGTGAGTGGGGATGGTGAGGAGTGGTGAGTGGTGGGTGAGGAGTGGTGAGTGGTGGGTGAGGAGTGGTGAGGAGTGGTGAGGAGTGGTGAGTGGTGGTGAGGAGTGGTGAGTGGGGGGTGAGGAGTGGTGAGGAGTGGTGGGTGGTGAGTGGGGATGGTGAGGAGTGGTGCGTGGTGGTGGGTGAGGAGTGGTGAGGAGTGGTGAGTGGTGGGTGAGGAGTGGTGAGGAGTGGTGAGGAGTGGTGGGGGTGGTGAGGAGTGGTGAAGAGTGGTGAGTGGTGAGTGCTGAGGAGTGGTGAGGAGTGGTGAGTGAGGGTGGTGAGGAGTGGTGAGGAGTGGTGAGGAGTGGTGAGTGGGGGTGGTGAGTGGTGGGTGGTGAGGAGTGGTGAGGAGTGGTGAGGAGTGGTGAGGAGTGGTGAGTGAGGGTGGTGAGGAGTGGTGAGGAGTGGTCTCATGTCTCTCTCCCCCCCCATCCCCCCTCTCCCCTCTCCCCCCTCCCCCCACTCCCCCCTCCCACCTCTCCCCCCTCCCCCCCCACCCCCCACTCCCCCCCCCCCTCTCCCCCCCCCATCCCCCCTCCCCCCTCCCCCAGGCAGCTGAGGTTGGGGGTGATGACCCCTCGGTGCTGAGGTCAACGGAGGTCACCGCCGCCCCCATCCCTCCCTGGGTGGCCCCTCCCCTCAAGGCGGGGGGCGGGGCCACCGCCCCCCCCACTGCGCTCCGGCAATTCCCCTCCCACGATCCGGCTCCTCGCTCCGTGAGTCCGTGCCGGGCTTTGGCGACTTCCGGACAGCAACAGCGGGCTCCGGCTCCGGCTCCGGCTCCGTTTCTGGCTCCGGCTCCTCCGGCTCCGGCTCCGGCTCCGTTCCGGGCTCCGGCTCCGGTGCGCACGGCAGCTCCGTTCGTGGCTCCGGCTCCGTTCGTGGCTCCGGCTCCGGCTCCGTTTGTGGTTCAAGCTCCGGCTCCGGCTCCGGCTCCGTTCGTGGCTCCGGCTCCGGCTCCGTTTGTGGTTCAAGCTCCGGCTCCGGCTCCGGCTCCGGCTCCGGCTCCGATCCAAATCCCGGCCCAGTCTCTGGCCCAGGCTCAGACGGCGATCCGGGGTTTCGTCGGAGCCGCCCAGTCTGGAGCTCCGGGCCAGGTTTCCGGGAAGACCTGGGCCTCCTCCACAGCCTCAGCAACCGCTCCCGCTCCGGCCCTCACTGCTCCGGGCCAGGTTTCCGGGAAGACCTGGGTCTCCTCCACAGCCTCGGCAACCGCTCCGGCTCCCGCGTCGGCTCCGGTCGGCGCTCCGGGCCAGGTTTCCGGGAAGACCTGGGCCTCCTCCACAGCCTCAGCAGCCGCTCCGGCTCCCGCTCTGGCCATCGCCGCTCCGGGCCAGGTTTCCGGGAAGACCTGGGCCTCCCCAGCCTCAGCAACCGCTCCGGCTCCGGTCGGCGCTCCGGGCCAGGTTTCCGGGAAGACCTGGGTCTCCCCAGCCTCAGCAGCCGCTCCGGCTCCCGCTCCGGCCCTCGCCGCTCCGGGCCAGGTTTCTGGGAAGACCTGGACCTCCCCCACAGCCTCAGCGACTGCTCCGGCTCCGGTCGGCGCTCCGGGCCAGGTTTCCGGGAAGACCTGGGCCTCCTCCACAGCCTCCCCTCCTCCTGGTTACAGCAGCAGCCCGGCTCCGGCTCCGGCTCCTCCGGCTCCAGCTCCTGCGGCTCCGGCTCCTGCGCTCCACTCCGGGGTTTACCGGCCGCCGGCTCCCTCGGCCGGTGGTGGTAGCTCCGCCAAGGTGCTTGCAGTGGGCGTGGCGAGATCACGTGACCGTGGCCTCGGCTCATTGGTGAATCGATTGAGTGGGTGGGTGAGTGGGTGGGTGAGTGAGTGGGTGGGTGTGTGAGTGGGTGGGTGAGTGGGTGAGTGGATGAGTGAGTGGGTGAGTGGGCGATTGAGTGAGTGGATGAGTGGGCGAGTGAGTGGGTGAGTGGGTGAGTGAGTGAGTGGGTGAGTGAGTGAGTGGGTGGATGAGTGAGTGGGTGAGTGGGTGAGTGAGTGGGTGAGTGGGTGAGTGAGTGGGTGAGTGGGTGAGTGGGTGGGTGAGTGAGTGGGTGAGTGGGTGGGGGAGTGAGTGAGTGGGTGAGTGAGTGGGTGAGTGAGTGGGTGAGTGAGTGAGTGGGGGAGTGGGTGAGTGAGTGAGTGGGCGAGTGAATCAGTGGGTGGGTGAGTGAGTGGGTGAGTGGGTGAGTGAGTGGGTGAGTGAGTGGGTGAGTGGGTGAGTGGGTGGGTGAGTGAGTGGGTGAGTGGGTGGGGGAGTGAGTGAGTGAGTGGGTGAGTGAGTGGGTGGGTGAGTGGGTGAGTGGGTGAGTGAGTGAGTGGGTGAGTGAGTGAGTGGGTGAGTGAGTGGGTGAGTGAGTGGGTGAGTGAGTGAGTGGGTGAGTGAGTTTGTGGGTGAGTAGGTGAGTGAGTGGGTGAGTGGGTGAGTGCGTGGGTGAGTGGGCGAGTGAGTGGGTGAGTGAGTGAGTGAGTGGGTGAGTGAGTGGGCGAGTGAGTGAGTGGGCGAGTGAGTGAGTGGGCGAGTGAGTGGGTGGGCGAGTGAGTGGGTGAGTAGGTGAGTGGGTGGGTGAGTGGGTGGGTGAGTGGGTGGGTGAGTGAGTGAGTGAGTGGGTGAGTGAGTGAGTGAGCGAGTGGGTGAGTGAGTGGGTGAGCGGGTGAGTGAGCGGGTGAGTGAGCGGGTGAGTGAGCGGGTGAGTGAGCGAGTGAGTGGGCGAGTGAGTGGGCGGGTGAGTGGGTGGGTGAGTGGGTGAGTGGGTGAGTGAGTGGGTGAGTGAGTGGGTGGGTGGGTGAGTGAGTGGGTGAGTGAGTGAGTGGGTGAGTGGGTGAGTGAGTGGGTGAGTGAGTGAGTGGCTGAGTGAGTGAGTGAGTGTATGAGTGAGTGGGTGAGTGAGTTCTAAGTGCTTTCCGTGGTGTCCGTCGTTTCGTGCCAGAACCTTCTGAAGCAGCTGTTGTTTGCTGATGTCTTGTGGTGGTTGTTGTTGTTGTTGTTTGTCCAGGGTGCGACCCCGCCCCCTGCCCAGCCGAGCCAATCACAGCCCAGCACGGAGACTCAGGAGGAGCCAATGGGAAAGCTCGCTGAGGGTGAGGGGGGCGGTCTGATGGCTGACGGTGTTATCCCTCTCCCTCACTCACTCATAGAGACTCATAGAGACCCATAGAGACCCATAGAGACTCATAGAGACTCATAGACCCATAGAGACCCATAGAGACTCTTAGAGACTCATAGACACCCATAGAGACTCATAGAGACTCAGAGACCCATAGAGACCCATACAGACTCATAGAGACTCATAGACACCCATAGAGACCCATAGAGACTCATAGAGACCCATAGAGACCCATAGAGACCCATAGAGACCCATAGAGACTCATAGAGACTCATAGAGACCCATAGAGACCCATACAGACCCATAGAGACTCATAGAGACTCAGAGACCCATAGAGACCCATACAGACTCATAGAGACTCATAGACACCCATAGAGACCCATAGAGACTCATAGAGACCCATAGAGACCCATAGAGACCCATAGAGACCCATAGAGACTCATAGAGACCCATAGAGACCCATACAGACTCATAGAGACTCATAGACACCCATAGAGACCCATAGAGACCCATAGAGACCCATACAGACTCATAGAGACTCATAGACACCCATAGAGACCCATAGAGACTCATAGAGACCCATAGAGACTCATAGAGACCCATAGAGACCCATAGAGACCCACACTCATAGAGACTCATAGAGACCCATAGAGACCCATAGAGACTCATAGAGACCCATAGAGACTCATAGAGACCCATAGAGACCCACAGAGACTCATAGAGACTCATAGAGACTCATAGAGACCCATAGAGACCCATAGACATCCATAGAGACCCATAGAGACCCATAGAGACTCATAGAGACCCATAGAGACTCATAGAGACCCATAGAGACTCATAGAGACCCATAGAGACCCACAGAGACTCATAGAGACTCATAGAGACCCATAGACACCCATAGAGACCCATAGAGACTCATAGAGACCCATAGAGACCCATAGAGACTCATAGACACCCATAGAGACCCATAGAGACCCATAGAGACCCATAGAGACCCATAGAGACCCATAGAGACTCATAGAGACCCATAGAGACTCATAGAGACCCATAGAGACTCATAGAGACCCATAGAGACCCATAGAGACCCATAGACATCCATAGAGACCCATAGAGACCCATAGAGACCCATAGAGACTCATAGAGACCCATAGACACCCATAGAGACCCATAGAGACTCATAGAGACTCATAGAGACCCATAGAGACCCATAGAGACTCATACACCCATAGAGACCCATAGAGACCCATAGAGACTCATAGAGACCCATAGAGACCCATAGACACTCATTGAGACTCATAGAGCCTCATAGAGACCCATAGAGACCCATAGAGACCCATAGAGACTCATAGAGACCCATAGAGACTCATAGAGACCCATAGAGACCCATAGACACTCATAGAGACTCATAGAGACCCATAGAGACCCATAGAGACTCATAGAGACCCATAGAGACTCATAGAGACCCATAGAGACTCATAGAGACCCATAGAGACTCATAGAGACCCACACCCATAGAGACCCACACTCATAGAGACCCATAGAGACGCATAGAGACTCATAGAGACCCATAGAGACCCATAGAGACTACGACCTCCTGTAGACCAGGCGAGGTAGTCAACATATCTCAGTGTGTGGGATCGAACCCACGACCTCCTGTGGACCAGGCGAGGTAGTCAACATCTCACAGGGTCTGGGATTGAACCCACGACCTCCTGTAGACCAGGCGAGGTAGTCAACATCTCACAGGGTCTGGAATTGAACCCACGACCTCCTGCGTACCAGGCGAGGTAGTCAACATCTCCCAGGGTCTGGGATCGAACCCACGACCTCCTGTATACCAGGCGAGGTAGTCAACATCTCCCAGGGTCCGGGATCGAACCCACGACCTCCCGCGTACCAGGCGAGGTAGTCAACATCTCACAGGGTCCGGGATCGAACTCACGACCTCCTGCGTACCAGGCGAGGTAGTCAACATCTCACAGGGTCCGGGATCGAACCCACGACCTCCCGCGTACCAGGCGAGGTAGTCAACATCTCACAGAGTCCGGGATCGAACCCACGACCTCCTGTAGACCAGGCAAGGTAGTCAACATCTCACAGGGTCCGGGATCGAACCCACGACCTCCTGTAGACCAGGCGAGGTAGTCAACATCTCACAGGGTCCGGGATCGAACCCACGACCTCCGGCGTACCAGGCGAGGTAGTCAACATCTCACAGGGTCTGGGATAAAACCCACGACCTCCTGTAGACCAGGCGAGGTAGTCAACATCTCACAGGGTCTGGGATTAAACCCACGACCTCCTGTACACCAGGCGAGGTAGTCAACATCTCACAGGGTCCGGGATCGAACCCACGACCTCCCGCGTATCCGGCGAGGTAGTCAACATCTGCCAGGGTCCGGGATCGAACCCACGACCTCCCGCGTACCAGGCGAGGTAGTCAACATCTCAGAGGCTCTGAAATTAAACACACGACCTCCTGTATACCAGGTGAGTTAGTCAACATCTCACAGGGTCCGGGATCGAACCCACGACCTCCTGTATACCAGGCGAGGTAGTCAACATCTGCCAGGGTCCGGGATCTAACCCACGACCTCCCGCGTACCAGGCGAGGTAGTCAACATCTCACAGGGTCCGGGATCGAACCCACGACCTCCTGTAGACCAGGCGAGGTAGTCAACATCTCACAGGGTCCGGGATCGAACCCACGACCTCCTGTATACCAGGCGAGGTAGTCAACATCTCACAGGGTCTGGGATAAAACCCACGACCTCCTGTAGACCAGGCGAGGTAGTCAACATCTCACAGGGTCCGGGATCTAACCCACGACATCCCGCGTACCAGGCGAGGTAGTCAACATCTCCCAGGGTCTGGGATCGAACCCACGACCTCCCGCGTACCTGGCGAGGTAGTCAACATCTCACAGGGTCCGGGATCTAACCCACGACCTCCTGTAGACCAGGCGAGGTAGTCAACATCTCACAGGGTCTGGGATAAAACCCACGACCTCCTGTAGACCAGGCGAGGTAGTCAACATCTCACAGGGTCCGGGATCGAACCCACGACCTCCTGTATACCAGGCGAGGTAGTTAACATCTCACAGGGTCCGGGATCGAACCCACGACATCCTGTGTACCAGGCGAGGTAGTCAACATCTCACAGGGTCTGGGATCGACCCCACGACCTCCCGCGTACCAGGCGAGGTAGTCAACATCTCACAGGGTCCGGGATCGAACCCACGACCTCCTGTAGACCAGGCGAGGTAGTCAACATCTCCCAGGGTCTGGGATTGAACCCACGACCTCCTGTATACCAGGCGAGGTAGTCAACATCTCACAGGGTCCGGGATCGAACGCACGACCTCCTGTATACCAGGCGAGGTAGTCAACATCTCACAGGGTCTGGGATCGAACCCACGACCTCCTGTAGACCAGGCGAGGTAGTCAACATCTCACAGGGTCCGGGATCGAACCCACGACCTCCTGCGTACCAGGCGAGGTAGTCAACATCTCACAGGGTCCGGGATCGAACCCACGACCTCCTGCGGACCAGGCGAGGTAATCAACATCTCACAGGGTCCGGGATCGAACCCACGACCTCCCGCGTACCAGGCGAGGTAGTCAACATCTCACAGGGTCTGGAATTAAACCCACAACCTCCTGTAGACCAGGCGAGGTAGTCAACATCTCCCAGGGTCCGGGATCGAACCCACGACCTCCTGTATACCAGGCG